GCCTCCTCCTCCTCCTCCTCCTGCTCCTCCTCCTCCTCCTCCTGCTCCTCCTCCTCCTGCTCCTCCTCCTCCTCCTCCTCCTCCTCCTCCTCCTCCTCCTCCTCCTCCTCCTCCGCCTTCCCCCCGCACCCCTGCCGCCCGCCAGGTGGTGCCCTTGCGTGCTGGGCGCCAGCCGCGCCATCTGCCGCTTCGCCTGAGGGGCCTCGCGCGGCGCGCGGCCCGGCGCGGCGCGGCGCCGCCGCTCTGCCAGCGCCTCGTCGCCGTCGCCGGCGTCCCAGATCTCCGACGGCGGGAGTCTTGTCAAGCGGCGCGTGCGCCTCGGAGCATCGAAGAAGAGAGAAGGCATGAAACACCTACTTGTGGCGCTCCGCGCATGTGTCTTGGGTCCACGCACTGGCCCCCCCTGGCGGCGCGTCCCGCGCCGCCCCTGGCGCGCTCCGCGCGCAGAAGAGGGGGTCGGGCGCGGATCCAAGAAATCCGCACGGAGCGCCAAAAGTTTATGAGTACAGCGTTTTTTCTTCTTCTACGTGCGCCTCTGAGTTTTCGGCTCCCTCGGGCCGCCATCGGGCCCCATACAGTGGGGACCAATGCCAAGAAACATCCTGCTCGCCTCCAGGTGCCCTGGGTTTCTTGGGGTTCGGTGGCTTTGCGATGGAGTGCTTAACGTTCCCACACCAAAAATCAATCGACGCCCTGGTGTCTCAGGGTTGGGTTTCTTGTGGAAGGTTTCTTGTGGACTAGCCTCCACTGGAGGGCCATCCGAGGCGTCTCCCTGCTCGCCTCCAGGTGCCCTGGGTTTCTTGGGGTTCGGTGGTTCTGCGATGGAGTGCTTGACGTTCCCACACCAAAGATCAATCGACGCCCTGGTGTCTCAGGGTTGGGTTTCTTGTGGAAGGTTTCTTGTGGACTGGCCTCCACTGGAGGGCCATCCCGAGGCGTCTCCGGGCCCCAAGGCCTGCCCCGGGGAGGGCGTCGGGACCTCTGGAGCACATCGGCGGATGTCGGGGGTCGCCGCTGCCGTCGTGGGCGTCGTGATCGTCGTCGTGGTCGCCGTCTTCCTCCTGCAGGAGGGGGTGGAGGACGAGGGCAAGGGGGAGGGCGAGTAGGGAATGTCGAAGAAAAACGCATAGATATAAACTGTTGGCGCTCCGCGCGGAGTTCTGGGATCCAGGCTGGATCCGGGAAGGGGGTCCAGCGCGGAGCACCAACAGTTTCTGTGTATGGCGTTTGTTCTTCTTCTAGGGGGGGGAGGATGAGGGCAATGGGGAGGACGAGGAGGGAACAGGGAAGAGTCGGCGGGCGGGAGGGAGGCAGTAGGAGGATTTCGGGCATGGGGGAGATTACATTGGAGAGGCCGTACGGCCGGTGCCGTCGACCATGAACGACGACGACGACGACGACGATGCGGGAGACTATATTGGAGAGGCCTTACGGCCAGTGCCGTCGACCATAAACGACGACGACGGCGATGCTCACGTGGGTCAGAATCCTCAGGGATGCTTCTTGGGGTCTCTTCGGGGCGCTCTCGGGGGCTTCTGGGGGGTGGTTCTGGGGCCTCTTGGGAGCTTCTTGGGGGCCTGTTGGGAGTGGGAGTCGCTTGGGGCTTCCTGGCGGCCTCTTGGGGGCCTTTTGGCGGCTTCTTGGCGCCTCCTGGCGGAGCCTCTCAGGCCGAGGGCTCGAAATGTCCGTTCGGGTCCCCCGTCTGGGCACCCTCTTGGAGATGTTTTGGGGGCCTCTTGGGCCGTCTTGTAGGCCTCTTGAGCCGTCTTGGGGCCCTCTTGGGTTGCTTTGTGGTCCTCTTGGAGGCCCCTGGGGCTATCTTGGTGCGATCTTTGTGGCCTCTCGGGCCGTCTTGAAGTGTCGGGAAGCCGAAACGGCGATACTCCCCAAATCTTCGGGCTGCTCGGTCGTGTTTTTCCTGGTGACGGTCTTGGTGGCGTTTTTGGTGTCGTACTTAGGCTGTCTGTTAGGCAGCTCTTTCTCGGGCTGCGTGTTGCGCAGCTCTTCCTCAGGCTGCATGTTACGCAGCTTTTCCCGTCTTGTAGAGGACTACTCCATCATGCAGGCGGTCGTAGCGATGGTCATGATGTCGTTGAGGTGTGGTTGTAGTCCGTGTCGGACCAGGTAGCCCGTTCTCTTGGGAGCAGCATGTGTTCGTACTTCTCTATGCGAGTATAGTCTCGGCATCTTGCCGGTAGTCTCCACCGAATGGGCATTTCTCGCGCCGATGTTGTGGATGTCCAGCTTGTAGTTGGTCAGCTGGTGGACGATCTCTTTCCCCGAGGTTTACACTGTGGTGCTTGATGCCGTTCACGCTGTGCGAGCGCCGCCGATGGCGGCGGCACGCTCGAGCCGTCTCCCCCCCTTCCGCGGGCGGTGGGGAGCCCCCCCCCCCGCAAAGGCCAGAATGGCCCCTCTTCGATCCTCCTCTCCTCCCCTCCTCGATCCTCCCATTCTCCCCATCCTCGTTGCCCCACCGTTGAGGACGGATGAGAGTGCGAAGTTGGAGGGCGGGGGTGCGATGAAAAGATGATGGAGTGGCAGGAGAACTGGCGCGGGGGATGAGAAGGAGAGGGAGAGGGAGAATGAGCAGGGAGGAGGTGGAAGGGAGGAGTAAACCTGCGGTCGGTTCGCGCTTCCTTGACGCGGCGACGACCACAGCCCGGTCGTTCAAGGTCGATCGCCGAAAGTCGCCCCGAACCGACCGGTGTCGCACGATCTGCGTCATCGGAAAGCCGCGTTCGTTCAAGCTGGAGGCGTCCACGCGGTGTCTGAAACCAACGCCGACAGCAACGCGGCGCAATCCTGACGTACCCCTCACCGCTCGCAGGAAGAACGCGGTATGCGGGCAGACGTTTCCCCACTCAAGTTCCGCTGGGGGGCCCTCGCCGCAGTCAACAACGACGGGAGAAGAGTCCCAAAGGGCGGTCGGGGAGCCGGAGACCGCTGGTGCCCGCAACGGCTTATTCCCTCAGGAGTCAGTCAGGGATCGTGATATCGCCTCAGTGTCGGCTTCTTTTTGGGGGGGGCTCTTGACGGCCATGATCTTTGGTGAAACATACGCTGTGGTGCACATGGCCTGGCGCTCCCCCCTTGTCACACGGCCACGGTCCCCCGAACAAAAGCATCACTACGGTGCGCGTGGCCGTGCTCTCACCTTCTGCCACGCCTACGAGTCCACATGAACAAGCAGGGATGCACGTCTTCACCCGCCGACCTCCCACTCCTCGACCCGCCTCTTCACCCCGGCTGCTGTCGGGGTGCCCCGCTGGCAGCCGGTGTGGCCTGGCGCATCGGAGCTCTGTGCCTCTCGTGGCGCGCCCTCGCCGCCCTCGGCCTCTGCGCCCTCGCCGCCCCTTGGCGGCGCGCCCTCTGGCTGCCCCTGCCCCTCCTGGCCAGTGCGCTCGCCGCCTGGGCCTCGGCCCTCGCCTCGGCGCGCGCCTCCCAGGGCGGCCGCCGGCCGGCGCTGCCGCAGGGCCTGCGGCGGCCGCCGCCGCGCCAGGCGCCGAAGCGCGAGGCGCCCGCGGGGAGGCCGCGGCCGCCGAGGGCGGCGACGCCCGCGGCGGCGGCGTGATCGACGGCGACAGAGCCGACGACGGCGGCGACGACGGCGGCGACGACGGCGGCGACGACGACGGCGGCGGCGACGGCGACGACGACGGCGACGGCGGCGACGACGACGACAACGGCGGCGGCGGCGGGGAGAGGGGGGACGCGGGGAGAGATCATCCGCCCATCCGAGGAGGACGAGGAGCGAGGAGGGCCTGCAGCAGCAGGAGCAGCAGGAGCTTGTGGAGCCGGAGAAGTGAAAAGAGGGGACGCCACCGACGAGGAAGGGATCTGCTGCAGGATTGCTGCCTGCGCTCCAACGAACATCGAGTGTTGAACATCTTCCTTTTGCAGTCATGTCCGCGTGCAGAGACACCATACGCGGGAGAGGCGGCGGCTAAGTCGCACAGGCGGCGTGGAGTGGTGGATGGAGGAGGGGGGGAGGGGAGGAGGGGAGGATCGAAGAACGGGGGAGGGAGTGGAGGAGGGAGGTGGAAGTGGGGGCCCTGGGAAAGTCGGGTAAGGGCACGCCGGAGGGGTATGGTGGAGGGAGGGATGGCAGGGCAGGGTAGGATCCTCCTCCGACGGGGGGAGAGGGGGTTGGCATGGGGAGAGGACCCCGGATCCACTGCCGAGGGGACAACGAGTAACTGGGGGGCGGGTCACCAGGAGAGGCAGGGGGACAGGGCTATGGGACGGAAGGCAGCCCAGGCCGCCGTGGACTGTGGAGTTGTGTTTTGTGCCCTCGTAGAGGAAGCATGGAGGAGGCTGAGGGGGGGAGGGGGAATGTAATCGAGGGGGGGGAGAGGGCTGAGAGGGGGAGGGGGAGTCAGGATGGGGTGCAGGGGGATGGGAGGGTGAGAAAGAGGTGGGGGAAGGATAGCGACGGAGAAGGAGTAGCAAGGGGGGGTCTGAATGCGAGGGGAGAAGGATGTGGAGATGGGCCGGGATGAGCAAGTAGGTTTGCTTCCAGAGGGAGGGAAAGAGAGAAACATCGATATGTATATATATGTGGTAGTCGATAGAGAGAGAGAGAGAGAGAGAGAGAGAGAGAGAGAACGAACAAAGAGAGAGAGAGAGAGAGACATGGATAATACATCAACAACATACATACATAGAGAACGCGAGAGACAGGGAGAGCTCTTATTCAGAGGGCGCTGGTGGGGGCATCCTGAATTTACCTTGATGCACTCTAGCGCTCTTTTGTGGAATCTTCAGCACCTGTCACATATTTGTCAGTGGCGAGCTAGACTTGAACGCCCCTCCGGATCGTGTGACATTTCACTGATTGGTGATTGGGGGACCTCTTGGTCTCGAGACATCTTCGGAAGACATTCTCGCCGCCCTCATTTCTGAGATCACAGTTTTGCCCCTGGGACATATGCTTATGAGACCTGTTCAGGTCTTCCTAAACTCGGTGCTACACTGATGCGCCAGTTTGCATGCGAACTGTAGAATCAACTGCGTTGTGTCTGGTAAGTGCTGTCGCGCGTCATGCCGTATGAATGCCGTGCTGGCCTCTGAGTGGCTCAAGAGGGTTGCTCTCGCCAGTTCGCCGGTTGATGCTGCAGGATGGTGCGCCGACCACTGTGGCGGGCCTCGGGTTGCCCAGATCCGTTGATCGATGACTGCCGCTGACGCCGTGGATCATCAGGAAACGGAGGCTGGATTTGGAGACAGTGCCCAAGTTGTGCGGGATGGAGACCATCGCCGCCAATGACGGTATTGCGTCAGTTGGGAACTCAGAGGTGTCCCAGCGCAAGCAGACCCTGTCTCGCCCTGCTTGGGCGGCGTCTGGGGCAAGGTCTGCCTAGACCTTCGACGCCTGTGCAGTTTGGCCCCCCCACCCGACAGGTTGGATATATAGCACACAAGTATCGGAGGAAAAAAAAACACCCGCCTGCCTTGCACAGCATGGCCGCTAGGCCCCAGCAGTCCCGAGCACCCCGCCTCGCCCGCAAGCCTGCACACCGCGGCCCGGGCCTCCAGGCCCCAGTCGGTCCGGGTGTCCCGGCCTTCCCACCTCGCTTAGGTGTGTGCATGCCTCGGCCGCAAGGCGCCATCAGTCCCAAGTATCCCGAGCATCCCGGCTCGCCCGCCAACGTTTGGCAAGAGCAGGCAGCAAGAACAGATTGCGTTCGCAAGCGCACCAAGGTGATGCACCGAGGTGGTGCATGGAGGAGAGAGGGCAGCCAATCCATCAGCATCAACAGTGCGGGCGTCACGGCTTCAGTTCTAGACCATATTCCAGGAGCCCACATTGATAGCGCACATCGCACATGTAGAACGCGCACACGCATCAAATACGTACACCAAGACATCGCGATTTGACATCGTCCGCTCACTTCCTTTCCCTGGTCACGCACATCCATAACATGCACCAGCAGCACACATCATGAACGTCAATCAAGAGACACGTCACGGACACACATCGGCGTGGCACCAATATCAGGCATCAGGGACATGCAGCCAGAAGGCTGATGTGCACGCACCGCAAGCACTTACCAATACTCTTCATCAGTACCGGACATATTAATTCGGCATGGCTGACACAACGAGCATTGACACGCTACGCACGTACACTACGCACGTCCACATCAGAACAACATGCATGCGCCATACAACCCACTGGCGAATACAACGGGCTCGCCACTAGCCGACACGAATCACACAAAATTAATCCTATGCATCCATAACATATCAGAGTGATCGAGAACAGTAACACATGTCAAATCCACACACGGCTCGCACGCATCAGCCACATTCACCATGACACACAGCAATACTCTGAACCAACAGGGGACACCATACACCACCGCCAGGCATACATGACATACACAAGTCACACATCGCCCGCATGTAGAACGTGTATAATTGTATACATATATAAATACCACGGACTTGCAGACCGAGCATGCACACGTAATCAACACGTCTTGTATTTGACAAGCACACCATGGTTCATTAAATTGCTCGGTTACAAACCAAACATGATGATTACCTGCGCAGTCGGTCAGGAGGGCGGCCGGACGGCCCCGGTAGAGCCCAGAGAGGCCCCAGACACCCACCAGACGCCCGAAGACGACCCACTGAAGACTCCCGGGAGGCTTCCGAAACGCAGAACACATTGATGTCTTATTGTTTTGTCTGATGTTTGGGATGCTCAGTTCTTCTGTCTTCTTGGCGTCCGAGTCCGCCCAGGAGGCTTGAAAATCGCTCCAAAGTTAAGCAAGAGAGCTTCCAGCCAGTCCAAGAGGAGCCCCAAGACGGCCGAACAGGGCCCGAAGATGGCCCGAAGAGAGCCCCATGACGGCCCAAGGTGGCCCCAAGGAGACTCCCGAATCATTCCAAATCGTGTCCTGGTCGTGCAGGGAGACCGTGGTTGGAAGCAGGGTGTCCCGGGTAAGCCTCTAGAAGCCCCCAGAAGGAATCCAGGAGGCTTCCAGAAGGCCCCAACAAGCTCTTAAAAACTTTCGTGAGGCGTACAAGAGGCTCTCTTAGGATGAGCCTCCACAGAAAGAGCTGAGGATGGGAGCGAATTCGCAGGGTAGGGCGAGAATGGGGAAGAGAAAGAGGAACCATGAGGGAAGGATAACGAATCACAGTATTACAACAACGATGCCAGAAAAGGCAACAACGAATTCTAGACGCTTCGCGCATCCCCACCAGGTATTTAGGCTGTTGCTGGTTAGCTGTAGCTTTGGACAACGCGCGGCCCTTTCCGCTTGCGCCCGCGAACAAAGAAAACACCAGCCCATCCAGAAACGATGTCCAGGCGAGTTGAGAGGTGATCAGGGGAGTGCGGGAGCAAAGAGGGTGCGGCCGAATTGTGCGAAGGAGGGAGGAGGAGAAGGAGGAGGCTAGATGGATGGATGAGGGAGTGGGGAGAAGGACGATGAATAGGATAATGAGGAGGAGGAGGAGGAGGCGGAAGAGAAGGAGTAGGAGGATGAAGGAGGAGCAGGAGGAGGAGGGCAAGACAATGGGGCCAGAGGTCTCTTGGATGCCTCTCGGAGCCTCTCGGGATATCTCTTGGGCGCTTCTTGGAGGCCTCTTGGGACGTCGTGGGGGTCTCTCGGCGGTCCTGGGGGCTATTGGGCATCTTGGGTGCCTCGGGGGGGGCCTCTTGGGGCCATCTTGGGGCCTCGTGCTGCTGCCCACCGTGTGGGCCTCCTGGGCGCCTCTTGGGGCCACCTTGGAGGAGATCGATCCAATAAGGGGGGAGCTTACATTAGCCCCCCCCCCCCCCCCCTCGGGAGCCCCCAACATCACCTCTTGGGCCCCTCTTGGAGCGCTCTTGAGCGCTCTTGGGGCCGTCTTGGGGCTCTCTGGGGCCTCTCTTGGGGCCCTCATGGTCCCTCCTGGGGCTGCCTGGAGGCCTCGGAAGGCCATCGGAAGCAAAAAGGCGAGGCTGCAAAATTTATGTATTTTCCCAATGTGATTGAAGCGTGTTGGCTTCTTGGCGGCCACCTGGGGAGGCTCCGTGGCCGCTCGGAGCCGTCTTAAAGCACCCTTGGGGCCTCTAGGGGCATCTTGGAACCATCTTGCCGCATCTTGGGATATGTCGGGCAATATTGGAGGTCATCTTGGGCTCTCTGAGGCCCTCTTGGAGCCATTTTGGGCCATCTTGGACGCTCCACCGACCCGCGAGGCGCCCCGTCCAGGTCCAGGGGAGGGGGTAAGGGGGGAGGGGTAAACCCTTCCCAGAAGGGGGAAGAGTGAGGGGATGGAAGAGGAAATGCTATCAACCACCTCCGCCCAGAGGGCTGGTGATATTACCGCTACGTGTTCCGTTTGTACCTTATGACCCTCTTGTCTGCATGCCAAACTTCATGAACCAAAGTGCCTGGTGCGAAGCGCCAATGCAGTCTTATATACACACACGTAGCACCCCGCAGATGCGGATAAGAGTGAGGGGGCGGTGGGGACGTCGGCAGACTGCGAGACTCTGGAGAAGCCCGCCGCAGGCGTTAACGTTTCACAAATCATACAACGAGCCCGCCGCAGGCGCCGATTTTGTCGTTAAACCAATGTGGGTAGGTCGCGGGTGGGTCGCGGGTGGGTCACGGCTGGGTCGCGGGTGGATCGCGGGTGGGTCGCGGGGTGGGTCGCGGAGTGGGTCATAAGTGGGTCGCGGGTGGGTCGCGGATGGGTCGCCGGATGGGGCACGGGTGGGTCGCGGGTGGGTCGCTGGGTAGGTCGCGGGTGGGTCGCGGGTTGGGTCGCGGGTGCGTCGCGTGGTGGGTCGCGGGGTGGGTCGCGGGGTGGGTCGCGAGTGGGACGACGACAACAAACAACAACAACAACAACAACAACAACAACAACAACAACAACAACAACAACAACAACAACAACAACAACAATAACAACAACACCAACAACAACAACAACCATTTTAAGGCTGTACGCTCTTACTTGCCCGCGAGTCATTCAACACGTATACCCTACATCCTCGAAACCCGCCCTCTTCGTTTTCGATCACACCCCTTTCGGGGGGATTATTTCTCTTTGCTGGGGCCTGCGGGCTTAGACGTACGGGCAAACCGGAACGGGCGGACAATCCTTCGGGGGCGTACATCTCTCTGCCCGCCATTGGCATTGGCGCGGGCCCTGCAAGAGGAGGAGGGGAAGAACGAGGGAGAGTGGGAGGAAGGGGAGGGGGAAGGACGAAGGAAGAGGAAAGATACCACGTTGTGAAGGCGTCCTTGGCGCGTGCGTGGTTCCTGAGCGCCGAAACGCAATTCCAGAATAATTTGTGAGGACGTCGCACGCGAGAGCGCAGTCCTGAGCACATTGTAAGGAAATCTCGAGCGGGAGCGGGGGCCCTGACTAAGTTGCGAGGAAGTCTCAAGCGGGAGCGCCGTTCCTGAGCAAATTGCACGGAAGTCTCAGGCGGGAGCGGAGGTCCTCACTAAATTGCGACGAAGTCTCAGGCGGGAGCGCCGTTCCTGAGTCAATTGCGTGGAATTGTCAGGCAGGAGCGGGGGTCCTGAGTAAAATTCGAAGAAGTCTCAGGCGGGAGCGCCTTTCCTGAGTCAATTGCGCGGAAGTCTCAGGCGGGAGCGGGGGTCTTGATTACATTGCGAGGAAGTCTCAGATGGGAGCGCCTTTCCTGAGTAAATTGCGCGGAAGTCTCAGGCGGGAGCGGGGGTCCTGAGTAAATTGCGCGGAAGTCTCAGGCGGGAGCCGTTGTTGTTGTAGCCCGGGGGGCAGGGGCACAGCTTGAGCAGGAAGACTTTCCTTCAGAAAAATCAAGGTGCGAGCCCCGGGGGTGGCACTTCAATCGAAAAAAAACAATGTGCACCGATGGGGGGGGATCAACAATAATTATTCTTCAAGAATGAGAGTTCAACAACAACAACAACAACAACAACAACAACAACAACAACAACAACAACAACAACAATTACTAGCACGTGGGGACACTCCGTTCTCACCAGTGCCAGGGTTTTCATAGGAGGCGGGCAATACCCCCACTTTGTGGGGGGGCCGGTTCAAGCTCTACCAAATTTCCAAACGACTCTTCGCCACCACCCACACCCAGCTTCCCGCCCTATGACGTTCGGACACTTCACTTCGTGGCATGCGG